GGATAGGATAACCATCTCAGGGGGCCATTTCATTTTGTCTTATATGTGTGTTATTTGCACTTTCTGTCGGATGTGATAATTTGCCAAGAGATCCAATAGCCTAATAGATCTGTCCTATCATTTGTTATGCAATCGCGTAGTACTCTTCTGTTGGCCTTTACATTGTCAAATGTGAATATGCTAATCATATATAAGAAAAGGGAAAGATATAAACCTTTAATGTGAATTCTGAGACACGACTCCATCACTTGTTAGATGTTCATATACAAATTGAGATTGAGAACTTATAGCTCAGGTTGTTTATTGATCTTTGTCTTTGTTTTGCAGGGCCCCGCCTGGAGATCTTTTTGTTTATCTTGACATTGAAGAGATACCTGAGATCCAAAGAGATGGCATAAATCTTATTTCAACAGTTTCAGTTGGTTATCTAGATGCTATACTTGGGGCTGTTGTTAAGGTAAATATTAACATGATTTTTCCCTTGACTCCCGTCATATTCTGATAAGAATGTGAAATAAGATAATGATGCACTATAGCGTTATGTCTCTATACCGCTACTATAATTGTCTCACTGTAAATAATTGTGGTATCCTCAAGATAAAGCATGTGCGGAAGTATTGTTTAAGAGCCTAGATCCATATGTTTTTGGTGAATCAGAAAAATAGAAATTCAGATACTTTAGTATGAACCCAAATTGGTTCTCATAGACTTGGTGCTTGCTCCTTTCAAATGAGCCTCTTTCAAGAAATTTCCCCTATCAGATCCGGGGGGTTCCTACAGGGGCTAGGTACATCTACTTGAAATATAAAACAGAAATGAATACAAGATTCTGAAAGTTTCACTAGTTTTTAAATTTCTTCACACAACAAATGCATGATAGTACTGTACTCAACTTCTCCTGCCATATGATGAGATCTTTCTATATTCTATGTTTGTCCGCTTGGAAGATTAGTCTTTCTTCCTTGGTGAAAAAGGGAAAAGAAGGTGTGAGAGAAAGAACTAACCCCTGGCATCTCTAAAGGCCACCTCAGTTTGCCCTTCCTTCAATTGATTCTGATTTCCCGCATTGTACTTGTAGCATTGCAGTTTTAGGCTAATAGATTTGCAGATTAAAAGTATTACTTACATATAGGTATGGCATCAATATTGTTCGTGCAGCGAGGCAATAAGACTGTTTGAAAGCCCAAGATTAACGACGTTGATTTATAGGCATGCTTTCTAAGACGAGTAACAATATCTTATAGGCAGGATTTCTAACGGTTGACAATTGAAATTGATTTTATGATACTTTGTCCCTATAGGCATGTCATCTAAGTGTATCAATACAATGAAGAAACAAAGTAATCGCTTAGTTGATTAAGGTCATAGAGTCATGATATCTAGATGAGCAGTATGCTAAAAGCAATAGAAGCGATTGATTGATTAATTAGTTGAAGCCCTATAAACATGGTATCTAAATGAGAGTTAGTAAAAACATATGTTGTTGTATCCTATAGGCATGATATCTAACACATAGCATTAGAGCAAATTGAGCAGATAACTAGTGAAGTTTGAATCCTACATGCAAACTATCTAATACCGTGTAGAAGTGGAGCATGTGGTCAAGTGAAGCACTTAGATTCTTATGGGCATGTTATCTAACAGTGTACAGGAATAGGACATGCTGAAAAAGATATCAAATAAATCACTTAGTCCCTATAGGCATATTTTCTACCCTTTTATGCAAGAATAGAGTACACTCGTTTCCCAAGATTCACTAACTCCCCAATTGTATGTTTACAAATCATTACATGCCCAATTATTGACATCATATTTCTTAGTGATTTTGCTTCTCCTGATGTTTTCGTCAGGTTAAAACAGTGGAAGGGATGACCGATCTCCAGATTCCTCCAGGCACTCAACCTGGTGATGTGCTTGTCTTGGCAAGGAAAGGTGCACCGAAGCTGAATAAGCCATCAATACGTGGTGATCATTTGTTCACGATTAAAGTTAGCATACCAAAACGCATCAGGTGTGCAAGTGTTAAGTTGTAGATGATGAACTAATTATACATGTCAGTTCTCTTATCTACTTGGTTCTTCTTTATTTTGCAGTGTGAAGGAGCGTGAATTGCTTGAAGAACTTGCATCCCTAAATAAGACATCAAGCATTCGTACAAAACCTCGAGCAACAGTTCAGCCAACTGGTATATGACTACTTCTTGATTCATCATTTCCTCAATTCTCTATACATGAATGGTAGAGATAATGAATACTGGGTTGTGATTTTTCACTTGTTTGGCTGAGGGTAGATATCCTTCCTAATAAATGCTACCTCTTATCTTGTCTCGAACTAGACCTGGGTCATCTGTTCAGCAAGCGATGCTATTGATAAATATGAATCATTTGCAAGTTCAGTTATAGGTTTTGGCTACTTTAACAGCAACAGCAGGAAGCGTGGTATTTGGATAGTCACTTAAACACCCCAAGATCAATCACTACGTTTGACTTGGAAATTTGTAGCGTTTGGCCATAGAGTCCCAAATTTGTTTTGAAAAATCTGATTTGGGTGAAGTTTGGTTTGAAGATGAAAATGTGTTTGGACATGATTTTTCAAAACATATTTCACTTTTTATTTGAAAAAACATGAAACATGACTTATACCCCATAAGTTCGAAAAACTATCACAAATACCCAATAGTACCATTATCACAAACCATAGTCCTGAACGTAAATAAGTTTGGTACAAAATTATCATTTTTATAATGAACTATATAAATCATTAATTACAATGAAATCCCATTAGAGAATTACGGCTCCTAATTAAAAAGAAAAAGTTAACTGATATGAGTATTCAGAAAGCCATTTAGCCTACAAATCAGAAGCAAAAGTAAGATGCACAAAGGATTGAGCTGATAAGGGAGCATATTCATCAAATATTTAGTTGGTCGTAATAAATGTGGGCTCTTTTACAAACTATAAAAGTTTAGGGTAATATTTAAAAATTTTAAAAAATGTAACGGTCATGTTTTGGCCCAAAATCAGCAATTGAGGTGATTTTGGGATTTAGGATTTAGGATTTAGGATTTAGGATTTGGGATTTTGCCAAAATGTGGGCAAAATCTATGGCCAAACATGTGTTTGCCAAATAAATCCCAAATTTATTTTGGCAAAACTCATGGCCAAACGGGTCCAAAACTGATGCAAAAATCAAAATATGGAGAACAAGAGGAATATATTATTACTTGTGAATTGAGAAATGAAGTAATTGATTCCACCCCATACTATATAAATGCTCCTTCACGTTTTCTTAACCTAGAATATTAGTGGGAAAGGAAATCCTTTTTTGAGGGTGCTTCGGAAATAATATAGAGCACTTGATTAGGAACTACAGTCAGGTGTCAGAACCCTTCCTCTATACAACTGTCCCAAAAAAGTACTTTTCACTCCGAGGATAAGAAAATCATGTTCTGAATGAACTCTCCGTGTCAAAGGTTAGAAATTCTCCTCACTCAAAAGGGAAACACCTGTTGCTCTAAATGTAGCCATGTAGGAACATTATAATCAGGTTGAGTAAACCAAAAGCCATGGCACTTTGGTGTCAAAATGAATATCTCATTTATAGTCGGTCCATTCCTCTAGCATAAGAATTGACCCATGTTTTTCTTCTTTGCAGCTAAAACTACAGAAACTCCAGTAGATTCAGATTCAAGTACAGCAAAAACCGATGAGTCATCAGAAGATCAAGATGATCCATTGAAGAAGTTAACAGATTTTGCTGGGTAAATTTCTTGACATTACTCTTTAATTAGGATTTTTCATGGAAAGTATTTACTTCTTAGTAATTTAGCCTTCACGTGAAAGATTTGTATGTTGTTAGAACCATGGAAATCACCTTTTTGCGGTGTAAAACCATGGGTAGAGCCCATGATCATTAACCATATAAGTGATTTTTCTGTATGAATTGAGCAAACGTGCTAGAAAATAGACATTATTTACATTCACAGAGCCCCGGTAGAATGACAATTTACTTATAGGCGTATATTTTAGCTCGATGTTGGACTTTTTTGGTTTACCACTAAAATTTGCACCATCCCTGACACTTCTTATTAGATTCGCCTTAATTCTGAAAGAATTGATCTTATCCACGTTTTGGTTTATTTTCCTTTAAAATTCAAGCGCTCTAATTTTGTTCCTGTTTCCAATATTTCTTGCTCATAAGTAAAGGTTTGTGATCACAGGTCTGTCGTGAATGGTGCACTAAAGTGGTTAAGAGACAACCTGTAATCCTCATTTATGGGATACTGCTTCATACAATCCTCTTTATACAGCAGTGGCATTGAATTTTATGATCCTCAGAATAGCCTCTAGAGGATCTTGCGGCGCTTTATTTCTTAGAATAACTTTTTGTTGATTCTGCCCGAGAAATTGAATCCAGCCACCCTATTTTATTTTAGGAAACCTGATTCTTCGCCCTTGTAAATTCTGGCAATACTTCTTCTCCACCTCAAACAGGTCCATGAGTTGGATTCTAACAGCTAAATTATTATGTAAGAAATTTTGTATGTCACAAGCATTTACTAGAAACGAAGAAAAGTCGGAGCATTTTGGATTTCCTTTTATCTTAATGGAGGTAGATTGCTATTTGCTTCTATCTTTGTCCTTTTAAAAAAATGTGTCGTGAGAAACACAACACTCATCAATCCGAAAAGGGAATGTTTGCGATTATGAAAAATGTTTGTATTTCCCTCACCATACTAGTACTCCACAGGACATAAATGTGAAATACCGATAATTATCTTTGCATTGTTGCAGATTATTCATGTCACAGCCACAGGAGTTTGTGTTACGATGTCCAGGCATATATCTCCAGTGCAAATATACGAGGTGGATTAATGTCTAAAACCCAAATAAATCATCATTGATAAAGCATGAACTAGTGATTTCTTTTGCGGATATCCTGCCTAGTTGTAAATTACGTAGACTTATCAGTGTTACATAAAGACATGAATATAGAGTATATAGTTCCCCAACTCGGTGTTAAAATTAAAAGGCATCACTGCCTATAATAATTGCATTCCCAACGTCCAATTGTTGGTTACAGAGTTTCACCACGCATGCTTTACACTGAAAAAAGAAACCACAAGATTATGCGAACTAAATAATATCTCATCGACTGACGATTTTGAATAGGATAAAACAATTGGTCTAGAGCTACTAACGTCCACTCCCTAGACTTTCCGTTTTGGTACGGTCCAAGAGATTGCCTGTTCATCCAAAAATGACCCTCATTTTTACTCTTTTGAATCAGCACGACTTTGCAAAAATAAGAGCACAGCGGAAATAACCACCGGAGCTGATATCATAAAGAGAGCCAATGAAATATTTGGTCTTGTTATCTCTGGGAAAATAACGCTTCCGTACTTTATTGCAGCTCCTCCGGCGACCGAACCGACTCCCAGTTTTAATAAGAAGTTCAAATCCTCCTGCTTGTCATAAAATTTCAAAAACGACCTCACAAGGAGTAGTAGTATGTAAATAATAATACAAAAAATTACTCGTTAAGAATTTGAAAATATTGCCAAAATGCTTGTGAAAATCGTGATCAAACGAAAAGTTAATTGACGGGAGGGACTGGGGGTATAACCTGTGGTAGGAAAGGAAAGCCAGGTTCATCAGTGCTGAGATTTGGTTGGTCAGTTTTGGGGTCGGAAGCTCGGGCAATTATGGGCATCTTAAAGGAGGAAATCATTCTGAAAGATTTTGGAACGAGGAATCCAACGGATGCAGACGGCGGCTGAAGAGACGACATTGAGGTTGAGGCGGAACATGTCGCCGGAAATTTTGTAGCTTGCAATGCGGCAGCCTCCATGTCCTCAAATGGCAACTGAAACTCTTACACAATAGCCACAGAAATTTAACTCCTCATCCAATGGGCAAAAGAGCTGGCTTCCTTTTCTCCTTTTACCTCTCAATAAAATTAAGGGCAAAAATTCAAAACACGTCAATCGGTAGAAACTAATTGGTCGAAAAATTTATAAAATATGTATAATTTTTTTTTATATATAATACACATATGTATATATATATTTTATCGGCCATTACTTTTTGGAGCAGCTAAAAATATATATTTCTCTTAAATAATTAAACTACAAATTGAATAAGCAAATTAAAAGTTACATATTTTGCTTTCTCCGGTTCATTTTTAAATGAAAATAAGAAAAAGTCTTTTAGTACGTGATCCTAAATATATCATGAAATACAATAAAGTTATTAAAGAGAAAATAAAAAATTAATATTTTTTAAATATAAAAATATGTCATTTTCTAAAGGTAGAATACATAGTTTACCCCCGGAACTATGGATCAAATCCCTATGACACACCTTCTGGGAACAAAAATTACCTTACACACTCAATCTTTCACGAGTGTATCTAATACACACTTTACACGCATAAGAGACGAGTGAAGAGTTAAAATTTTGTATCTAAAGCGTCATTTGGAAACCGTTTGTGCAGATTTTTTATTTTTTATTTTTTAAAAAGATTCCATCAATTCTTTCCAAGGTTCTTCCATCACAACACCACAACCACCCCGCCAGATTTTTTCCCCAAGATCTAAATGGGAACGAGAAAATAGAAAGAATCAGAGTTTCCATATTTGAATACCAATGTACTTTGGTTATGACTCGTGATTCAAATTCTCCAAATTGATAATTATTTTTGAGATTGGGTGTTTTTCAGATTTAGATTAGCTTCTTGAAATAATAAGGAAGGTGATGTAATCCCAGAATGGCTGCTCTTTTTACAGTTTTGATAAACTAGATACAGATTAATCCCAATCGAATTTTATTTTTTTCTCTCTAACAACCTTGATATGGAGTCCTTGTCTATGATCTCATGAACTAGAAGAGACACCACCAGTTTCCAAAATTATAGCACAGACAAATCTGAGTTTTATAATTAAATGGGTGGAATGTTGAATGTGGCAAAAAATAGAGAGTAATAGTGAATTTAGGCTTGAAATGACGAAAGTTGAATTTTTGGGAAGTTTGACCGGGGGTTGACTTTTTTATATCGGGGTCGAAATCTGATTCTGAAAATTTGAATAGGTATGTTATATCATTTATGACTTGTGTGCAAAATTTGAGGTCAATCGGATGTGATTTGATAGGTTCTGGCATCGTTTGTAGAAATTTAAAATTTTAAAGTTCATTAGGCTTGAATTGGGGTATGATTCGTGATTTTAGCGTTGTTTGACGTGATTTGAAGGCTCGACTAAGTTCGTATCATGTTTTAAAACTTGTTGGTGTATTTGGTTAAGGTCCCGAGGGCCTCGGGTGAGTTTTGGATGGTTAACGGATTGAATTCGGACTTAGAAGAAAATCTAAAAGTTTCTGCCATCTGATGCAATCGCACCTGCGGAAATTGGCCCGCAGGTGCGGGCTCGCAGAAGCGAGCATGGCAAGCACAGAAGCAGACTAGGGGCTGGTGAGGCAGTGGTCACAGGTGCGGACGGGTGGTCCGCAGAAGCGGCGTCGCACCTACGAAGGTTCGATCGCAGAAGTGGAAAATCGAGAGAAAGGCATTCTACTTGACTGATTGAGTGTGATTCGAGGCAAGTGGCTTGTCTAACCATGCGTGGGGGAAATTCTCCTAGGATTTGATACTGTTGTAATATTTTATTATATGTGAGCGTCGTGTACGCGAAATAATAAGCGCGTACACGGGCTAAATTTAGAATTATCGATTCTTGCTAAGTAATCTTCTATTAAATTCTTTAACTGAGTTGCCTTAGTATATATAGTGATCATGATTAGCCTAGTATCACATGTCTACGTGCCTTAACTCTTACTTGCAATATGTACAACATGCTTAGCTGAATTACCTGTTTTTCCTCGATTTGATTTAAATCTTTAACTGTAAGATTCTTGACTGAAAAGTTACTGTTCCTCCGATTACCTGCTGCATATTTATTTTGGGACTACGAGGCGTTTTCTCGGGGGATCCCCCTGTACTGCATATTTATTTTGGTACTACGAGGCAGTTCCTCGGGAGATCTCCATGTACTGCATATTTACTTTGGGACTACGATGCGGTACCTCGGGAGATCCCCTTGCATATTTTCTTTTGGGACTACGAGATGGTATCTCGGGAGATCCCTTGTTGAGCATTTACTTTTGGGACTACGAGACGGTATCTCGGGAGCGCCCCTGTTGTTTACCTCTATTTGCTGTGTTGTTCACTCCTCAGTTATTTCATTATATTATTATATCCTCTGTCTTAATTTTTCTATTATTTCCACTTTCTAGTAGGGCCTGACCTGACCTCGTCACTACTCTATCGAGGTTAGGCTTGGCACTTACTGGGTACCGTTATGGTGTACTCATACTACGCTTCTGCACATCTTTTTATGCAGATCCAGATACTTCTTACCAGCCCAGATAACAGTGAACTACCTGTGTGCGGAGACTTCAAGGTACATCTGCCAGCGTCCGTAGACCTCGGAGTCCCCCTCTATCCTCATCATATTGTTTTCCTTATTTTAGTAGACTCTGATATATAGAGACCTTAGTATTTCTCTTAGAAGCTTGTGACTTGTTTCTACCGGGTTTTGGGAGATTTTAGTTCTTTGATTTGCAGTTTCCATTTATTATAGCTTTTGAGGTTTGAGTTCCAGACTCTTATTATGTTATTCCGCAATTTGTTAGGCTTATCTAGTCTTAGAGACTAGGTGTCATCACGACATCCTACGGAGGGTGAATTGGGATCGTGACAAGTTGGTATCAGAGCTCTAGGTTCATAGGTGTTATGAGTCACAAGCAAGTTTAGTAGAGTCTCGCGGATCGGTATGGAGACGTCTGTACTTATCTTCGGGAGGCTATGGAACTGTTAGGAAAATCTTCACTTTTTTGATTCCTTATCGTGGGCATTTGTTGACTTCGAAGTTCTAAACTCTTGTCTTTCTATTCTCTCACAGATGGTGAGGACACGCATAACTGGATCCGATGTTCAGACACCCAATCCCCCTGTTAGAGCCATAAGAGCCCGGGGCAGAGGCCGAGGAAGACAACGTGGTGCAGCCAGAGCACCTGCACGAGCTGCTGCAGCAGAGCCAGCAGTAGCTCCAGTTGGAGGGCAGGCACCTGAGACGCATGTTACTACCCCTGCACTTCAGGAGAGTCTTGCCCAGTTTCTGAGCATGTTTGGCACTCTAGCTCAGGCAAGGTTAATTCCACTTGCTCCTGCTACATCTCAAGTCGGGGGAGGAGCACAGACTCCCGTCGCCCGTACCCCAGAGCCACTGGCCCAAGTTGACCATGCTCCAGAGGTTATACCAGTGCAGCCAGTTGTCCCAGTTCGGCCCAAGGCTAGGGCAACAGTTTCGAAGGAGGAGCAACTCAGGCTCGAGAGGTACAAGAAGTACCACCCTCCCACTTTCAGCGATTTAGCTTCAGAGGATGCTCAGGTTTTTTTTGAGGAATGTCACCGTATCCTCCGTACTATGGGTATTGTGGATTCCAGTGATGTTTCTTTCACGGCATTCCATCTTAGAGGAGCGGCCTACCAGTGGTGGCGGGCATACACGTTGGATAGTCTGGTTGAGGCATCTTTACTTACTTGGACTCAATTTTGAGATATGTTCTTGAGGGAGTATGTTCCTCAGAGTCTTAGAGATGCATGGCGCACAGAGTTTGAGCAGCTGTGCCAGGGTTCTATGACCGTGTCAGAGTATGCGGTCCGATTCAGTGATTTGGCTAGGCATACACCAGCCTTGGTTGCTACAGTTCGAGAGATGGTTCGCCGATTTATTGAGGGGCTCCACCCTAGTATCAGATTCAGTATGGCCCGAGAGTTAGAGATGGACATCGCATACCAGCAAGTGGTTTCTATTGCTAGGATATTGGAGGGTATGCGGACCCGGAAAAGAGAAGAGAGGGAAGCTAAGAGACCCCGAGATTCTGGCACGTATAACAGTTCTCGTGCCCCATCTACAGCTCGTCAGGGTAGGGGTTGTGGGAGTCGTCCTGTTCATTCAGCACTTCCAGCCGCCAGCGATACTCCGGGTATTCCTAGGCCCGAGGATCCCTATTATGCACTGTCAGTGTCTAGTGTACCTCCTGTAAGGAGTGCTTTCAGTGGTCAGTCTAGTCGATCAGGCCCGAGCCAGTCACAGCAGCCACGTCCTCCAAGAGCTTGTTTTGAGTGTGGTGACACTCGTCATATGGTGAGGGATTGCCCTAGATTCAAGAGGGGTGCACCTCCACAGATTTCGCAGGCTCCACCTATTCCACAGGGCCCTCAGGCTTTTCAGGCCATGATTACTGCTCCAGTTGCCACTCCACTTGCATAGCCAATTAGAGGTGGATATCGGACAGGTAGAGGTCGCCCTAGAGGGGGAGGCTAGGCCAGATATTATGCCCTTCCTGATAGGACGGAGGCAGTTGCATCCGATTCTGTTATCACATGTATTATTCCGGTCTGTCATAGAGATGCATCAGTCTTATTTGATCCAGGCTCCACTTATTATGTGTCATCTTATGTTGCCTTGTATTTGGGCATATCCTGTGATTCTTTGAGTTCTTTTGTTTATGTATTTACACCCGTGGATAATTCTATTATTGTTGACCGCGTGTATCGGTCGTGTTTGATTGTTATCAGTGGTTTTGAGACTAGAGCTGATTTATTATTGCTCAGTATGGTGGATTTCGATATTATTTTGAGCATGGAGTAGTTGTCGCCCTATCACACTTTTCTTAATTATTACTCCAAGATGATGACGTTGGCTATGCCAGGTCTACCACGGCTAAAGTGGAGAAGTACCTTGGATCATGTTCCTAGTAGTATTGTTTCATTTCTTAAGGCTCAACGAATGGTTGAGAATGGGTGTGATGCGTATCTAGACTATGTGAGAGATGTTAGTGTTGATACTCCTACCGTGGAGTCA